CAAATAGCTGACCCTGGTGACATGGATCAGACATGTCGAAATCTTAATGAGCACAATAGGCTATCTTACTGGCACATTCTCATAGAACTAGTGATAATTTAGCCATCATAAAACGCCCCAACAACCTCTATGCTTACCAAATACCGTGGCTGAATGACTCTTAGTGCTTCTGACACAGTGTCAACTTGACGACAGTTAGAAGCATCATCTTTGCCCCCTGAGTTAGCACTTGAGAAGCCTTGACATGGGGGACTCATTAATAAGACGCTGATTCGGTTTAAATATTGTTTGCCCGTGTGCTCAAGAAATGCTTCGACAGATTCCTGATGGACCTTTGTGTCTCCGTGGTTAATCTAAGCGCAGGTATCAGCGATCAACCAGACGAAACAGTGAAACATGCCTCATATGTCATTGCTGTAATACAATCCTTTTCTACAGCAACTGCCGACTTGAAGCCCGCTGCTTTAAACCCACAGGAAGAACCACCCACGCCACTGAACAAATCCGCTATCCAAAATTCATCGCCACCCTCCCAAGGAAAAGGTTCGTGTATTTGAGGCACATTAGAAAGCACTTTTGTTAGAGGGATGAAGGATGTTTCGTGTTGTTCCCTGTGATATCTGTATGCCCAATAGCAGAAGTAGTCTGAAGGTGGAGACTTCCCGTATTCTATTGATATGTCTTCTTTGAGAATCGTGAGACTTGTGGCAAGACGTCGCTCATAAGGCTCATTGTCCCTATCAACACCCATTAAAAGGGCATTGTGCGGTGCACTTGGGTACAAAGAACGCCATTTAAAGTGACGGATAATATGGAGATAGGTTCTTCCTGTTGGTCCTTTCTCGATTGTATCAACAAAGATGATGAGGACCCCATTGTCACCTTTTACACGTGGATCCCTAGGCTCCTTCACAAGACTAGCCGCATAGTAATGCTTCGCTTTGACGTTAAATCCATTCAACCATATGGACGGGATTTCCATCGCATCGGGTTCCTGAAGCCTAGTTAGAATAGGGTGACATCTATGTAAAGGATGTTGTTACCCTTTGAAGAGGTGGGACAGTCGCTCTTGGGTCCTCCTGCCACAAATCCGGATCATCATCTATGCCAGAGAGCTCATAAGACTCCTCATAGTCACTCTCATCAGTTTCCTCGGCGTCGGACTCTTCTTCACTTAAGTATGAGCCTTCGAGGAATTGTAAA